AGTGTCTAGTAGTCCCTCAGTTGTCTTATCATTTCCCTTTCCCCACTGCACAGTTGCCCTGCGTAAAAGGCTGGAGATCTCCTTGAGGAAGGATAGGAGAAAGATTCACAGCATAAATTGTTAGTAATGTAGTGAGATCCTTTCTCAAAGGGACCTGGTCTCCCCTTCATTCAAGGGGTTCTGGGTCTGTAAACTGGCTGAAGTCTGGAAATTGATTGAAGAGCTGTGATTCTCTGTTTTTATAATTCAAATTAGTCTTTTTTCTGTTCAATCAAGAAGTTTTCTGCTTATATTAATGAAGTAGGAATGCAGTAGGCTTCCTATCAGTTTCACTTCTAGGAACACTATGATTAATTAGTCAATGCCAGAGATCAACAGGAGTTGGACTATTCTGATTGCTGCTTTTTCTCTGGGTGTCCATTACAGTAGAGAGTAGAGACTAGAATAGTGGTGGCTAGAGGTGGGAAAGGGGGAAACAGGCAAGTGTTAGTCAAAGGGTATGAAGTTTTATTTATACAAGATGATTAAATCCTAAAGATCTACTATACAACATAGTGCCTATAGTTAGCAATACTGAATTATATACTTAAAAACTTGCTAAGGAGGCAGATCTCATGCTGAATGTTTTTCTCTCACACAGACACAAAATAATAAATAAGGCAGGAGGAAACTTTGAGAAGCAATGGATTGGCTTATGGCATAGATTGTGGTTATGATTTCACAGGTGTATATATATCTTCAAACTCATCAAGTATATATGTTATTAGTACAGCTTATTCACATCAATTTTACCTCAATGAAGGGTTTTTTTTTTTTTTTTTAAGAAGAGCAGTAATATTTCTATCTCAGGGTTGTTTTGAAGACTAAATGCATTTAGATCACTGCCTGGCAGGTAGTAAGTGATATATATATGTTTCCTATAATTATTTTCTTCTTCTCTAAATAGTATTCTGTATAGCAGAGGACTCCATAGTCCTCCATTCCATAGGAGGGCTGTCTGTCATTCTATAGTGATATCTTTACCCTCTCCCTTTTTATTAGTTTCCTAGGGCTGTCATTACATACTACCACAAAATGGGTAGCTTTAAAGTGCAAAAATTTATTCTTTCCCAATTCTGAAGGCCAAATGTTTGAAAACAGGGTGCCATCAGGGCCATGCTTCCTCCTAAGACTCCAGGGAAGAATCCTTTGGTTCTTTAGTTTCTGTTTCTTTTTCCAGGTATTTCATGTCTTGTTGCTGCACAAATCCAATTTCTGCCTCTATCTTACGTAGCTAAATCTTAAATCTTAATCTTAAATCTTCCTCTATTTTTCTCTTATAAGGACACTTGTCTTAGATTAAGGGTCTACTTTGGTAATCCAGAATGATGTGGTTTGGCTGTGTTTTCACCAAAATTTCATCTTGAATTATAGTTTCCATAATCCCCATGTGTCATGGGAGGGCCTTGACAGGAGGTAACTGAATCATGGGGGTGATTTTCCCCATGCTGTTCTCATGATGGTGAGTGAGTTCTCATGAGATCTGATGGTTTTGTAAGGAGCCTTTTCCCATTTGCTCTGCACTTCTCCTTCTTGCTGTCATGTGAAGAATGATGTTTTTGCTTTCCCTTCTGCTGTGATTGTACGTTTCCTGAGGCCTTCCCAACCATGTTGAACTGTGAGTTAATTAAATCTCTTTTTTTCTTTTTTTAAATAAATTACCTAGTATCAGGTATGTCTATGAACTCATACATACTTCAAGACTCTTAACCTCTGCTGTGGTGCTTTCTGAATAGGGTGACATTTACAGGTTCTGGGGATTAGGACCTGGACATATCTTTTTTTCTTTTTTTTTTTTTTTTTTTGGTGTGTGTGTGAGGGGTCACCCTTTAACTCTCTATAATCCCAAATAGGAGAGCGGCCTTTTCCTCTACTTTTCCATGTTGAAAAATCCCAAGGAACGAGTTTGATCAGCTTAGTTTTATTAATACGATAAGCTACTTTTAGAAGTAGAAGTATAGGACATTACAGTTGACCTATCCTCACCCCTAACTTGCCTATTTCTTCAATAAAAGGAGTCAGTTGCATAGCCTCAACATGGTTTTAGGGACAGTTGTAAACAGTAGGCACTCAACACATCTTTATATAGAATTGATGCTCCTTTTTGTTTTTCCAGTATAGCCTCAGTCTGACCTAGTAGATTATTGAAAATATTCTCAAGCTGGATAATATCTTTTCAAAAGATACAGAATTTCTGTCTACTTTTTGTAAGTCCCAAGTCTTCTTGCACTAGTTTGTTGCTGGGAAGCTGCTTCTTGATTTAGGAAGTGGATTCCCTAATTGACACATGTTATGGTGCTTAGAAACTGAAGCTCTCCATAAGGCTTCCCAGGAGTTCTGTTTTCTTCCTTAAGTGGTGATACATCAGTGTAATCTTCTTTGGAAAAATTATTTACCATAACATTTGTTCTTTGAAAATGCATTCTCATTGATAGATTACTGCAATCTACTCTTCCATTAGCTTGTTGATAATACAGTCTATCATTTTTATTCTAACAGTACCTAGTACTTGATTCGGATCTAGAATCTCAGTTACAGGATTACAGGATGTCACTGGCTCTCAAATAGTATGAGCTCTGCCTTATATTCAGATAGCTGTACAAATTTCAGTCACCTATATGAATTCCCTACTAATGAAGAAATATTTATTGTAATACTTTTAGAAACTACTATCCATAGAGCTAATTGGCAACCTCTCTCACCTCAGGTACAGGTAGGTTAATGATACCTAACCAATTCTAGATTGTTCTGTGAAGATTAAATGTGGTTAGCAGTAGAGATAATAGGTTATTTCTTTAAAATTACAATACTTATTAAGTAATAAAACATTTACCTATTTGTAGAACAGGTAGATAGTAAACAAGTTTCATCATTATGTCCAGGGCAAAGACTATTTATTTAATAGTATTCAGATGCTTGAAAAAGTCATGGCAAGCTGTGTGGCTCTGTCATGTAGCTAATTGAGGAAGAAGTGGAGAGGTTAGAGAAGATGGGAAGAGTGGTGATGCAATTAATGAGAGTGACTGTGTAGCTGGGAATGTAAAATATGGGATGTTGAGCTTACATTCTATTATAATGTTTGAAGCAAGGAGTACCTGGCAAAGCAGTAGATAACAGCAACAGATCATTTTAAAATTATAGTCGGCCGGGTGTGGTGGCTCAAGCCTGTAATCCCAGCACTTTGGAGGCCAAGGCGGGTGGATCACGAGAGATCAAGACCATCCTGGTCAACATGGTGAAACCCCGTCTCTACTAAAAATACAAAAAATTAGCTGGGCATGGTGGCGCGTGCCTGTAATCCCAGCTACTCAGGAGGCAGGAGAATTGCGTGAACCCAGGAGGCGGAGGTTGCAGTGAGCCAAGATCGCGCCATTGCACTCCAGCCTGGGTAACAAGAGCGAAACTTCGTCTCAAAAAAAAAAAAAGCCCAAATAAAATTATAGTCTTTTTATTCATAATTGTTGGGTAGTTTATTAATATTTGCCAATTTAAATGCTCTTGCTAGTATTATTTACACATTTCTACAATATAATTTACAGAATGGTTATGCATTCTTATATGTTGGGTACAAATTTTTACTAGGTAGCTTTACCCACAATCCAGTTGTTGTGTTAGTATTGATCAGTATTTGATTAGTATTTTTCATATGTGATTTTGAAATATTCATTATTTCCTTTATTTTGCAAATTCATTTCCTTGCCTCTTTTTCATTTGAGGAAATAGTCTTTGTATCATAAGCCACAGATTCCTCAATAAATATGTGACTTTACTCCTTAGCAAAACTTTTCTTCTTTTGCCCTATTGGTAATAGAAATATTCTGAATTTAAACTCACTGGAGAGAAGAAAGTTTCTTGGTCAGAAAAATGAGGAATGAGAGACATAAATGTTTGTCTATGAATAAATTTCATAGGCCTGAACCCAAATATACATGTAGAAGCAGGGCAGTATAGAAAGAAAGCTTTTTTGTTTGCTTGTTTTTTTCAAGACGGAGTCTTGCTCTGTCACCCAGGCTAGAGTGCAGTGGTACAATCATGGCTCACTGCAACCTCCACTTCCTGGTTCAAGCAATTCTCCTGCCTCAGCCTTTTGAGTAGCTGGGATTATAGGCACCCACCATGTAGAGGTGGGGTTTCACCACATTGGCCAGGCTGGTCTTGAACTGCTGACCTCGTGATCTGCCTGTCTCAGCCTCCCAAAGTGCTAGGATTACAGGTGTGATCCACCAAGAGAGCCTTTTAAATATTTTCAAAATTGTGTGGTTGGCTGAAATAGGACAACTGCTGGCACCTCAATCATCAGGTTCCATGTGTATTTGCATCAGTGGTTTTGAAGGCTTGTCGACACACTGGGACATCATAGAGAGCTTTTTAAAAGAGTGTTAATGCCAGAATCCCACCCCTAGACATAATGATTTAGTTGGCCTGGGGTGGAGCCTGGGCATGTGTGTGTTTTTAAGTTCCCTAGGTGATTCTAATGTTCTACTAGGGTTGGAAACCACTGATTTACACGAGCCAGATAATGTCTATTAAGAAAATTTCAAATAGTTACTAGATAAAATATTTGGATCCACTTTTCATCTTCTAATTTGTGGATTTTATATTTGTTTTTCAAAGTAGTTTACATTTTTGGCAATTTTATTTAACTAATGGTATAAGGTACCCACCAGTAAAGTAGGGTCAAAAATTAGTGTTTTCAACTTTTTCTGAACCCTAGATTCAGTTTGGAAACTTTTACAGTCCTTATGTAAATCTAGGCCACACTCAGAACAGTTAATTCAGAACCTTTGAGGGTTAGGACCCAGGCATCATCATTAATATTATTATTATTATTATTATAGTTTCCCAGGTGATTACCTTGTAAAGCCAAATTTGAGAGCCACAAATCTAAATAAATATTGGTTGACTTAATTTTCTTTAAATAATTTCAGCTATGTACAGTCTCACTTTGTCTCTTTTTTCAGGATATTATTGACAGACTTATAATTTTGAATTCTGAAGCTAAGATTCGTTCTTTATTCAACTACGAACAATCACATATCTTTGGTCTAAGGTAAAGTGCTACATTTTACTTTTGATATTACATTTTATATTGCACGAAAAGTAAGCCATTGTCCTATATACTTTTAAAAAGTATTTAAAATTAGTTAATATTTGAAAGCATGTTTAAAGGTAATTTGTCTTCCCTTAACATTATAGACAAAGTAAATTATGGCAATTAGATTTTTGTGCCATGCACTTTGTCTGAATTCGGATTCTGTATTATTATAGGGTCTCCCATTCCTTACTTTAATAGAGGCATTTTAGGGACTATTTTATTTGGTTTACTCAGGAGTCAGCTTGACCTTCCCTGGGTTGGTATTTGGTTAGATTCTTGTCATAACATACCCTTAAAAGAGGCCTAGAAATGGGTGATTTATACTGAGACCCAAGTTTTGCTCTTTGTTGGTAATCGTCGCTTTTCAACTTTACTTTGCCTGAAGTTTAAATCTCTCCACTTGAGTTCATATTCCTTGACATTTTATAAGGATTAGTTGGTAGGACTACAGGGACTCGTGAATTTTGCAGTCTTTTGGTCGTATGTAAACATATAATTTGCTTCCCTACCTATAAATTGATACTTTTAAAAGCAGCTGAATTAAGGTAATTTTTCATTTTCATAGTTCCATGATATTTCTTTTTTTTCTATTAGCAAAGTAACTTCTTTAGACTTGAGGGAGGTCAATGATAATTCACTACCTAGGAAAGAAAGCAATTATTTTTCTAAAGTTAGAATTCTCTGATGGTGGTATATTTTTAATTTTTTAGAAACTGTATATTAATAGATGAGCTTTGTGTTTGGACTTTATCGTTCAAATAAGGTATAGCAAAGGTGCTGCCATTACAGTTCTTTGGGTAGTGTGCCCTTTATCTCAAAATGTGTTTTCACAATAAATTTTAATTTTTAGTTTATAGTTTCAGATACAACAGATAGCAAGATTGACGTGGGAAACTAGGAAAAACTGCATTCAGTAGAATTTTCTTTTGCATAGCAAATTTGTTTCTCAGTTTTGCAGTTATAGAACATTGATTTTGGCCTCTTGTTGTTGATATACTGAGTACATTTCTTTTTTTTTTCCTGTATGTTTTCTTTCTTTTATGGAATAATATTTTCTGTAGTGTTCTTTGGAAGAAGATTTAACAATAGGCCTTTATAAAGTTATATAAAAAGCAATTCAAGAAGTGAAATGCTCCTGGGAATACCATACATTAATTTTCATAGTGTGTACTTTCTTGTAATATCCAAATGTTATCATTCTATCCTACTGTAAAGAATTTGCTATCCCACAGTTGGTAGATGTAATAGATTATAGTGCAGTATGGTAGTTAGCAATATGAACCTTGTGATCAGACTGCCTGCTGTTTACTGGTTGTGTGAGATGGGGTCTCAGTTACTCACCTGTAAAGTGGAGGATAATTGCATTATTTTCCTTATAGAGTTATTGTCATAATTGGTATGAAAAATTAAAAGGGTTTACAATTGTGCCTGGTACATAGAAAGCACTGTGAAAATAGTAGCAGTAATAGTTCTAATAGTAATTCTTCATGTCTTTCTTTATGTCTACTTGACCTATACTGCTTTTGTGTTTTACTATGAAATCATTTCTGTCTTTATTTTTTCAGTATCTCAGTAGTCATAAACATGCTAGTTAGTAATTTGCTTGTTTTATATCAACATTCAAAAAGAGAAAATGACAAAATCACTTTTTGAGGAAAAGTTTGTATTTTAACTTAGGTACTTTTAAACAAGTTTTTCTTCACAAATTTATTTTATGTTTTGAGATTCCTATTCATAATAATCCTTAATTCAGGCATATTTGTAAGTCATACATCTTAGGCTAATAATTTACTTTCATTTTGCTAGTAATTTGTCTGTTATTGGTCATTGATGTCTAATGGTGATAAATCTAGATCATAGCTTTGCGTTATTTATTAATCTTGTGTTTCTGTGTGTTTGGGATTTTTACCCATATGTTTCTCTTTTATTCCCACAGTATTTTTGCTTGTTTCTAGTTAAGCCTTCCTTGTACCTTCTCTTCAGTAGATCATCCCTTAATGTGTCTGAATCTATGTTTAGCATTGCTTGTTCCATTTACTTTATATTTTCTTCTGCCTCAAAGTGTAGCAGTAGCTTTAAGGGTAATGCTTGATACAGCTTATTTATCACAACACTCAGATGAGGCTAATATGAGGCTTAGTGAAATGGGTCATGAATAGCATCACATTCCATTTAAAGTTCTGAATTTTAATTTGCCAAGATCTTACAAACCTTACATTGTAAATCATTAATATTCAAGAAGGGTGCTTGTTTGATTAGCCTCCCTCCTTCACCCCTTCCCCTTTTCTCCCTCTTTCAACCTATTCTTTTTTGCTGGATCATTCCTATTAGTGTGAAGACATGCCTTCATATGTCCTGTCTTACAGTGAAATAGAACAAACTATTCAAACAAATACCCTTGACCTTACATCTCCTTGCAGCCACTGACCAAACAGCAAAATATGTCTGTACAAACTGCCCTCGGTTGCTCACCTGTATTTACTCCTCCACTCACATTGATCTGACATTGACTTTATAATTCTGTCAGAACTATTCATCCTGCTCATTGCTAGATCACTTGTAACTTCCATGCTAATGAATCTAGTGCTTTCTTCTCTTTTCTCATCTTACTGTAACTGTCAGTAGCGTTTGATATAGTGGACCATTTTTTTTTTCCTTTGTGAAAAATTATCTCCATTTCTGTGCTATCACACACTGCTATTGCTGCAGTTTCTGTCTCTCTCCTTTTTTTTTTTTTTTTTTCATTCTTTAGGCAACCTTTGAATGTGGGAATACTCAGGATTTAGTCCTGGGCCCAGGACCAAGGACCCTAGCTTTCTGTATGCTCTACCCCTAATTTATTCCACTTAAACATTTGCCTTTAAATATCATTTATATGCTAGCGGATGCCGTCATTTCTATCTCTAGCCCAAACCTCTCTTTTCAGCTACTAGACCTATATACACACCTGCCTTCTGGCATCTCAGTGTATACATTTCTCATTTAAACATGTTTAAAATTGAACTTTTGGATCTCTCAAACCCCCTTCTACAAAAAGAAGCCAACTAAATCTTTCATTTCTATCTCATTATGTGATCCAGCCATCTCTTTAACTGCTCATCTTGAAAGTCATCATAACTTTCTCTGTTTTTTAAACAATAATTTATCTTTATTATAAATGAATTGATCAATGCAGAAAATTAAATATAATGAAATGAAATTTCTTACAAGTCTAAAAGTATCTTATTAGTACTGAGGAAAATTATTCTAGACATCTTTCTATACATATACAGAGAGAAGGAAATACAGATAAGTAAAAATAAATTCTTTTTTAAAAATAGAATTATAGTACAGTTACCACTTTAAATTCTAATGGAATTCTTTAGGGGAAAAAAAAGAAAGAAAGAAACCCCAGTGTAAGACTGAAGGAATTGCTGAATTTCAAATAACTGTTTTTTCTCTCCAGGGGTCATTATTTTCCGAGAGATTCCTCTAAGGTAAAGAGAAAAGATTATGTAAAACATTTCCAGAGGTTTGAGCATGATATTTCACTTTTAGACAGTATTGATCAACTCTACTGTGGTAGATGAAGACATTCGTGCTCTTGTCAGCTGCCCACTTCCCCTGTGCTAAAAAGTAGTTCCTTTGCCCATTTCCTAACCTACCTTCGTGAGTCAGAGACCCTGTCTTCCTTCCTACCCAGGAGGGAGATTAAGCAATAAGCTAATTTGCATTTTTCAGTGTAGTAACCTAATACATGAAGTACCTTTTATGTATGACTATGGAGTAAGATTTACAAGTTAAACATTTCCTCTTCTTTATTTACTCAACCTGTATTTATTGAACTTGAATTCTGAGCTATGCCCTATGCAGTGTATGGGGGATGCAATGATGAGTGAATCAGATGTGGTGCTAATTCTCTTTAACCTTTATATCTGTGAGGAGTAAGATATTAAGATAATCAAAGAGTGTAAGGTAATTAAGGCAGAAAAGAAACACGTTCTTATAAAGCCCTCACCCGTCTTTTATCATTTTAGGTTACTGGCAATTCTGGACACCATTGCGTGGCTTACCTTCATATATCTCTACCTTTCCCGTGTATAATATTTCCCACCCTTCCTTAGCCTGAGCTAATGCTCCAGGGAGGTTAGACTCCTTATCTCCCTCAAGGACAAAACAGCATTTATTACTACCTGTCTCCTTGATGTTTATGTCTTGACCTCTGCCTTCGCTTTTGTCTACTTATACAAACTCAGCCCATCCTTCAACACAAAGCTTGCTTTGTGAATTACTTATAGCCCATTCTGATCTTGTCTTCTCTTTGCATGTCTCTTGCCTTTATAGCTCTTTCTACAGATTTAATATTTAATTTATTTCTTCTTTCTGTTTAAAACTTCAGTTTCTGAAGGAAGTATCATTTTCTTCTACTTTCATGTCTACCAGATTAACATTTATTTGTTAAAATCTGCTGCTTGATTAAAACAGTTGTCTGGAAACTCTGATACTGCCCAAGGCTTAGCAGTTTAAAGTTTTCTTAACCATTTTTAGTAGGTTTAGAGGAATGTTATATTCCTTCTGGGACATTTTATTTCAGTACAAAAGCTGTATATGTCATGGGGAAACACCGTATCATCATTTAATATTAATTGTTTTCTTTATATCAAACTAACCACATTAAGTTGTATTATAGGCTGTAGAATTGCAGCTTTTTTTTTTTTTAACTTTGAATGGTCTTCAGTGCTAAAGATATACTTAGTTTTAACAACTTAAATCTTACATAGTAACTCTTAGTTAGATATATATAAAAATTTAACATGGTTTAAAAATGCTAATATAGTTCTCCTAAAACCTATTCCTTCTTTGCTTATTTGAAACTATAATGTGGTGCATTAATGTTAGTTTTCTTCAAAACAAAACTCAGGAGTCTATATTTACAGACCAGCCTTTAAAATTAATCATTTGCTGTTTGTTATTAT